AAAAAAAGAATGAAATTGGACCCTTATCTTAGACCACACACAAAAATCAACTCTAAATGGATAGAAAAACTAAATGTAAGACCTGAAACTATAAAACTCCTTGAAGAGAACATAGGAGAAATTCTCCTTGACATTGTCCTTGTCAATGATTTTTTTTGGATATTATGCTAAAACTTCAGGCTACAAAAGCAAAAATAAATAAATGAGACTACATCAAACTAAAAAGCTTCTGCACAGCAAAGAAAACAGTTAACAAAAATGAAAAAGCTACAAACCTATAAACTGGGAAAAAATATATGCAAACCACATATCTGATAAGGGATTAATATCCAAAATTTATAAATAACTCTTGCAACTTAATAGCAGAAAAACAAATAACCTGATTCAAAATGGTCAAAGGACCTGAACAGACATTTCTTCAAAGAAGATGTGAAAATGGCCAACAGATTTATGAAAAGGTTGTTCACATCACTGATCATCAGGGAAATGCAAATTAATGCCACCATGAGATATTGCCTCACACTGTTAGGATGGCTATTGTCAGAAAGACAAGAGATAACAAATGTTGGCAAGGGTGTGGGGAAAAGGGAACCCCAGTACACTGTTGGTGGGAATATAGACTGGTATAGCTATTATGAAAAACAGTATGGAGATTCCCAAATAAACTAAAAATGCAACTACCATACAACCCAGCAATCCCTCTTCTGGGAATATATCCAGAGGAAATAAAATCACCATCTCAGAAAGATACCTGCACTACTCATATTCACTGCAGCATTATTCACAATAGCTAAGATATGGAAACAACTCTGGTGTCTGTTGATCAACAAATAGATAAAGAAATTGTGGTGTATACATATTTTACACACACACACACACACACACACACACACACACACAATGGAATATTATTCAGCCTTAAAAAAGGAAGAAAATCCTACCCTTTGCAACATGGATGGATCTGGAGGACATTATTCCAAGTGAAATAAGCCAGACACAAATAAAAATATTGTATGATCTCACTTATATGTGGAATCTAAAAAAAAAAAAAATTCAAATATACAGAGACAGAGACTAAAACAGTGGTTACCAAGGGTAGGGGGTAGGAGAGGAAATGAGATGTAGGTCAAAGGAAGCAAAATAGCAGATGTGGAGGATGAACAAGTCTAGAGATCTAATATATTACAAGAAGACTATAGTTAATAAAATTGTATTAGAGAGTTTTGTTAAATAAGTAGATTTGAGCTGCTTCACACAAAAAATAACTATGTGAGGCGATAGATGTGTTAATCTGCTTCACCATAGTAGCCATTTTACTATCTATATGTATCCCATAACATCATGTTGCAGACCTCAAATATACACATATTCACAATAGAATTTATTTTATAAAACACTGTTTAAGTGCCCTATCTTTGAAGGTATGATTAGAGATGTGCTGCTTCACTAAAAAAGCATATCTAGGATCTGCATCTAGTCTCACAGGAGCTATTGTGTAAAGGAATACACAATTTTCAGATATAACATGGGAAATTGATAACATGGGAAATTGAATGGGCTTAGAAGATGGTAATTTGTAGAGAAATGTAATAAAGCTGTATATATAAATTACCAAACGAAATGGATTTCAAGTAAGCATTTAAAATTAATATCTGGTTTCATATCTTACAACAGCATCAGTTATGACAAGACATAAGGGAAGAAAAGTATAACTTCTATACCCATTCTGTAGACAAAATCACAGGAGGTTATGAGACCTACTCAGCTATAACCCTGAAGTGGTTGGGGTGGGAGTTGAACTCATCACTCAGCCTTGACTATGTTGAAAATCCTTCCTCTAATATTTAATTCTTCATGTTTTGCAACATCTAGGCACTTTTAATGAATTAACATTTCTAATGTCACACAGAGAGATTCAATTGGTTTCTTCCTGCTAAAAGTAGAATACATTTTACCATAACATCTTTCCGAAATTGCAGGCATTCATCTCTTCTGATTGTGTGCCATACATCTGATTGTGTGTCCACAGATACATCTTATGGAATGAGTTAAAGGACTAAGTGTCCATAGAAGTGGGCATATCCAGGGAAAGGGGACACATTTGGAGCTATGTTGCTCTTTAAATATATTCACAGAACATGACCATTCTAAACATGTTTTTAATTAGAGGGGAAGATGTTAGTGGCAAGGAGAAACGGAAACAAAGATAAATAAACTGATGTTTTGAATACTTGCAATGTGCTAGGAGCCCTGCTCAGCACTTTTCATACATTACCCCATGTAATCTTCATAACAACTCGGTGATGTAACTGAGGAATAAAATGGTTAAAAAAGCTTGACCAATATCACACGATGAGTAAGTTGTGGAGCTAATTTAGACTCTAGATGGAAGGGGGCAGAACTTCTGAGTAAAAAGGCAAAGATGTGTAAAGAAGCAACTTTGAGGAGTGTAGAATAGAAGTTTTGGGAAATAGTTGCCTGTATCTGTTAAAATATGAAGATAATGGAACAAGAAGAGAGAAGGGACTTGGGATAAACGGAAGTGATTTGTAAAAGGTACTCTGGGAAATTTGTTGAGGATTCTTGAGAAGTTGTGAGGACCAAGGTGAAGTTGAGGACCCTCTTTCTTGGGGGAACCGGTTTGTGTGATTTCATGACTGCCCCCGTCAATGCATGGCAGTCTGGGAATATCAGCAGTGGGAGCAGATGATGGCGGTGTCCTGAGGTTGGCGAGGGGCAGTGTGGACATGGCAGGGCATCCAGAGGGCTGGTGATCCTTAGGAGTGTTCAAGCTGACATCAGACTGTTAGGATTCACATCCAGCCTCTGTGACGTGACCTTGGTTAAGGTACTCCCCATCTCTTCCAGTTTCAGTCTCTCCATTTGGGAAATGAGGGTAGTAATTCCACCTGAATTGTGCAATGTGTATATGTAAGTTTCAACAGATATTGCAATTGTGCAATTGTGCAATTGTGTTAAGGTACTCCCCATCTCTTCCAGTTTCAGTCTCTCCATTTGGGAAATGAGGGTAGTAATTCCACCTGAATTGTGCAATTGTGTATATGTAAGTTTCAACAGATATTGGCTTGTGTTATTATGCTAACAAAGGCATGGCTCGAATGGTGGGCCACAGAGTCCTGTCTGGGATAAGAGACCAATGAAACTGCAATAGCATGATGGCCTGGTACGAATTAAGTGAGGCAGACATCAGGATAGGAGTGAGAAGCAAGTTCAGAGTCAGCTTGATGGAAGGGAAGGAATTTGTGGACTGAGGATGCTCACATTTGATATTTTTGAAAGATGGACTTTTAAAGGACGATAATATTTAAGGTATGACTGTGCCAGGTACTAGTTAAACTGAAATAAAGAGGAATATCATTGGAGTGGAAGATGTCAGGAACCTGGGAAGTTGTCAAGTAATTCAGATGTTGTTGATGAACTCCCAGGTCATCAGCATGTGTGGTTGAGTAGCATCATGGACAGTGATCTAGAGTGCTAGGACAGGCTTTACTTTTGGAAACCAGTGTGCATTGGTGTTGAAATTCAGATAGAGACTTCTTGCAAATGATGGACACAGCCAAAGAACATAGCGTGGTGCCTGGGGTGTAGGGGACATAGGGGGATATTCATTATTCTCTGATCTGGCAAGCATAAAAAACACAAAAACTAAACAAAATGACTTACTTTTAAAGTTTTTGAGGGGTAAAAAAAGTAAGAAGTGAAGGAAAGGGCTCTGTTTATTTCTTTGAGGTCTTTACTTTTCCTGTACAACAAGAGAATCGTTGGTAAGATCTACTGGGCTGTCTTCTCTCCCACCTACTGGAATGGGGCTATTGCTATTTCTTTTTATGAGCATTTAGTGGGATACAGCGATGGTGCTATATTCTAAGGCAGCATTGTCCAATAGGTATATATCGTGAGTCCTATATATAATTTAAAATTTTTAGTAGGCACATTATAAAAGTAGAAAATGTGAAATTAATAATATATTTTATTCAACCTACTATGTCCAAAATATTATCAGTTTAACATGGTATCAGCATAAAAATCACTAATGCAATATATTCTGTTTTTCTTCTGACTTTCCAAAATTTGGGGTGCATTTTACAATTATAGCACATCTCAGTTTGACCAGCTACATTTCAAGTACTCAACAGCCAAGTGTAACTCCTGGCTATTGAATTTGACAGTGCAGTTCAAAGGATTGGAGTATAAAATAAATCAAGAAACAATTTTTGTTCAGTAGAAAGTTACAATGTAGTTGGCAAGTAAGATTCATACACAAAGCTATCTATCTATCCTTTATATTTTAGATCTTTCAATCTACTTATTTATTTGATTCCCAACCTTGTTGCAAAAAATATCTAAAGTGGCTTACATTAAGATATACACATTAAAAAGAAAAAAAATAAAACAAAAGGAGAACAAGTATTGCTTTCATGTTCAATTTTTAGTTGAGCCTCACTTTAAAACCTTGGGAGTGACGAGAGATTGTGAGTTGGGGAAAATAATTAATTTACCCTGTTAAGCTCACATACCAATGAGGCAGCCAAGCTGGGAGTAGAAATCATATTTTATTTCTCTAGGTGCACTTGGGAAGCTGCAGTGTAAATCTGGGATCCCTCACTTCTGTCAAATGCATATCCTGTTTGTGTCTCATATCCTGAATAAAGCTGATTACATAACCGGGTCTCCCTGGCAGGTGTGAAACTATTTTTAGGGAAGACGTATCATTGCTTAGAAGTGGATTAAAACAAACAAACATGTGGGTTACCAGTCTGCATAGAACAGGTGAGGCTGACCAAAATTCCCCCACAGTGGATGACACAATGGATGACAGCATAAGAAATAGCAACGCCAATTGAACTGGGAACTGTTGCTCATTGTTTAGAGAATAAATGAATCTCTCCTGAGTGGTGGGGGAGGAGGATGGTAACATTTCTCTGATTGAAACTCCTGAGACTTTTAAAAAAATGTTATTTTCGGTGTTCAAATTTTAGGCCCTGCACCAGATGTTGTCTCAGACAAAATCTATCAGATCAGCAAAACAATCGAGGAATATGCCATATGTCCTGATCTTCGAATCGATTTATCTCGACTAGGAAGACAAGAATTTGATCTGGAGAACAAATTCAAACCATTCAGAGGTAATAAAGGAATTATATTTTCAAGAAGTCAGAATAACTCCATTGACAGGGGTGACTGTAGTTTCTGCAGGGAAGTATATTCATGAAAATTGTTGAATTATCAGTTTCAGGGTGACTCTTGATAAATATGTGGACACTGAATATGGTGTAGAGAGAAATGAGAGTAGCCAAGATATTCAGAACTAGAGACTTTCAAAATCCACTTCTCAAACTCTATATAATTTACAACATCGGAAAAATTTCATGGTTGACTCCATTATAGCATTCCAAGAAGTTGTGAATTGCCAAAACTTGTCTTTGATTTTCTAAGCAATGAAAGTAAAGGTGCTGGAATACCTTAGATAGTTAAAAAGAGATCTAGCAAGTCAATGGCATTATGAAATTTCTCATGGAAGTAGGATTTTCTTTTCTAAGCCAGAGCCATGTAGATCAGCTTCATTAAATGTACAATTTATTGATCACTTGCTTTATACCAGCACCATGTTAGGAGATTTTACAAAATAATTCAGTAACTACCAAATGTATTTTACTCCGGTGATTTAGAAATTAAAGAACCAAAATGAGATTGCCAAAAATATATTGCAGAGTGAATACAACTTCTAAAGTAGAACATAACTTTTTATATTATAGATTCATTTCGAACCATATAGTAACAACATTAATACCATGTATGTACACATCATTCATCCCCTCTTTTATCTTGTTGCTTTTTCCTAGAAGGCATGCAAGTAGCAATAGAAGTAACATGTTTTATTCTGTTAGTGCCCCTATAAGCTTGAATACAGTTTTGTGCTAAGATACTATCATTATTTTACAAGAAATTTAACTTAGCTAAAAAGATACCTGGTTCATGGCCACATGGTATTTTACGGACAGAGAAAAGTTTAAAATACACTGTTCAGGGGTCACAGGGTGGGTCCAATGCTACCAAATCTTTCTTGAAAAGTTTTGAGTCAATTGTTTGCTCAAATTTATTGTGTGTGCAATAAATTTATTGAAAGTCATGTGATGCTCACTGGAAGCAATAGTGACTGCTTTTATTAATCTAGCTGAAGGCATGCACATGCATATGCATGCACACATATGGAATGGCTAGACAACGGAAGGCAAGGGACATGTTGTATAAACAAAATGATTTGAGTATGCTTGATTACATATGTTTGGAAGGACTGGGCTATAAGATGCCAGAAAAATCAGGCATTGCCATCAGGAAGAAGTTTTCTTTCCTTCTCGCTTGCTTGTTTTCTTGCTTTCATCTTCACAATTTTTATAGTTGTCCAAGAGACCCAAATCTTTGGTGAGCTCAGATTCAGGCCCACTGCTGCAGCCACATTGCTAGTTGGATGAATTTTCTAAATTGCTACTGATGCCAGGGAGTAGATAGAGGGATTCCCTGGCTCCTAAGAAAAAATTTGGAGATAATCATTGGGGATAATTTATGTGCTGTATTCTTTCTGTTACAAATGTTGAGCAAATCTTGAGTTGATTGGAAACAAATCAGTCCTTGGCATTTCAACTTAAAATGTCAGGAGCATGAACTATTTGATATGAACTTTCAATTTTCACTGACTTCTCCTTGCTTCCTTGTTTTTCACATTTCTGTTTGGTACTATGTGTTATCTGTTGTAAAGACCAATGCATTTAGGTAAATGGTTCAAAATTGAAGAACCAGAATAAAATTACCAGAAATAGCATATCATAATGTACAGTAAAACTTCTACTCAGGGAGCAAGCTTTTATTTTATAAATTATTTTTTTATTGTAGTAAAATATACATAAAATTTATATTGCATAAAAATTACCATTTTAACCATTTTTAGATATATAATTTATATGGATTAATTTTAAATTATTTTATAGGTTAATATACCCCTCATGTCAAAAGATAATTTTAAACTATCCATTTTCTTAAAAAGTGATTACATTATATTTGAGTGGATACAAATACAACATTAATTTAAGTGCAAGAAAAAATATTGTTAGATGTGTATTTGACCAGATGAAGGGATGATTTCATATCACATATTAAAATTTCATCCATTAAATGTTGCATCTGGATTTACAGAAAATTATTGAAGGTGGATTGGTAATATCCTCGGTATAGGTTTAAAAGTAGTATGTATTTGAAAGTAGTTATGTATTTGAAAAAGTTCCAAAGTAGTATGTATTTGAAAAATTTGCAGAACAGTGTTAATAAGTTTCAAAATTTAACTATCAAGTTAAAAATCAGAGCTCCTGGGCAAATCTTAGTGCCTAAAGTATCAAATATTTACTACTTCTAGGAAAACTGCTTTCTGGGTATTGATTATGGTACTGATTGCTAAGTTTGAAAAATGTAATGTATTCTGGGTTGTTGGTATATCAAGGAAAAGACTTACTTTGGATTCTTGGTCATTGGGTGATGCCAGGTACTGGAGAGCATTTGTGTTTAATGGGGATTTCTAGATACTTGCCATTCACCTGGAAATTGGGTACTAGATTAGGCATGAAAGATTTCAGGCAAACTTAGGAGTATATTCTTCATTGTTAATTCTGAATCTGGTGGGCACAATGGCATTTGGAAAATAGAGGTCACTTCTTAGGTCACTCCTTGATTTGTTTCATGCCAGCTGAGTCATTCTTTGGCTAACTTCCACAGGAAAGGCAACTGGGTATGCCAAGATGCTCCTTAGCATTGAGAAGTGTATATTTTTGGGGAAGGAGTTGGTGGAAAGAAGTAACAGGGCTCATTTTTATATTAATTTATTCTTATTGTTGATTTTTCCCTTGCAAAGAAGAATTTGTAACTTGCTATTATTTACACCCATTCAGCATCTGAAAAGTTTGTAGTATCTTGTTTGTGCCTTTATTTGTGGTTTTGTCTACCAATGGACGTTTTACTGCTTACATAACATGTGGGGTAATGATGGAATTGTTAGGATTTCATGCTATTAGGGTAGTGATTCTTTTTTTGCTCCCAAGTATCTTTTCTGAGTATTGGTCATTGAAATTTACTTTTGTTTTCCTATCTTTAGTGGAGATAGTGGACCCAGTGGATATCTATCTCAACCTTCTTCGAACCATCTTTGACTTTAATGCCATCAAGAGTTTGCTGACTGGGCCCAGCCAACTGAAGATTCGTGTTGATGCAATGCATGGAGGTGAGCCTGTGGTTTTCTATAAATCAATGGGCAAGAAATGTCGAGACCTCTACATATGTTGGGTTTTTGAGATTATGAGGAAGGTTGGATGCATAGATATTCACACATGTGTATGTTCAGATATTTAGAATGTTCTGGAAAACTTCAGGACTCTAATTTCTCTCTTATGATGTGAATGAAAACAAAAGTTCAACAAATGAGTTAGAGGCTATTCTTGTTTGAGTGTGGAGTGGATAGAGTACCACTGTAGTTCTTCATCTATTTGATCATGCTACATGCCCTAGTTTAAACAGTCAAATAGTTCAAGGTTTATTATGAAAAATATCTAAGCTGAACTCCTTTCTTCCCTCTAATTTCCTACTTTGCGGAGTCAACCTTTTCAACTCTTTTAGCTGTTATTCTTTTAGTATTTAGATCCCTATGACTCAATACCATGACTATACAGCTCCTTGTTGATTTTTCAACTTTGCACTTTACAGAGTTCACACTGTGGAAGGTGAGTTTCTAGTTATTTTTCACCCTCTCCACCCACCAAATTCAAGCACACGTCCCTAATTAATTATATCGCCAGTTTGGTAAGATCAGTATCCATTGTTTACGTTATCACAGTACCGCTGAGCTGTGCAACATTTTCTATTTCCTTTATAGCACAACTTTTTGATTTCCTTGGAATTAGTAATTGCCTTGTTTTCTCATTGATTGCCTTTTATTAAATGCATTTACCATTATTAACCACCAGGCTCCAGTGTCTAAGTCTTCTCACGCTTCATTTTGCTGGAGACCTCTATCTGCTCCACTCTGCACTGGCTGCTCTCCGAGCCTGCTGGAATCTTCCCCTATCGTCACTGTAGTCATTTTCTTTACTTTTCTCCTGTGTTGACTTTCTTGTTTCCTGGTTCTTTTGTCTTCCTCTTTCTTGACTACACCTACATTTTGGAGTAACATGTTTTCTAGGAACTCTGTGAGAGAAAGCTCATGTAGGTAATTGTTTGGAGTCATTGTATATCCAAAAATGTGTGTGTGTGTTTTTTTTTTTCTATGCTCACTCTTGATTGATATGTGTCTGGGTATAAAAATCTAAGTTCGATGTATTATTTTCCTTCAGAAGTGTTAGGGCATTGCTCCACTGCCTTATAGCTATTAGTATTGAACTTGAGAAATCAGATACTATTCTGATTTTTAATCCATTGTATGAAAACTTTCTTTTGTCTTCTCTGGAAGCTTTTTTAAGGTCTTTGACTTATTTCCGGTGTCCCTCCATTCTACAATAATGAATCTTAGTGCGAGATTATTTATCTCTATTGTGCTGGGCATTTGACAGTCCCTTTCATTCTGGACACTGTGTCTTTTAATTCTAGAAAATTTCTTGAATTATTTCTTGGATAATTTCCTCCCTTATTTTCTCTTTGCATTCTTTCCAGAATGGCTACTGTTTAGATATCACCCTGCTGAACTGATCCTTTAATTATTCTCTTCCTCCCTCCCCTCCCTGATTTTCCATCTTTTTATTTTGTTCTACTTTCTGGGAGATATCCTCCACTTTATCTTCCAGTCCTTCCATTAAGTTTTTCAGTTCTACTATCACATTTTTAAATTTATCGCAATTTTTTTTTATTTTCCAACTATTTTCTCATTTAAAAATAGCATCCTAGTCATGTTCTATGGATGCCATATATTTTTAAAGCCAGGTTTGCAGAGGTATAATTGATATATGGTAAAACTCACGTAAAACTCACTTGTTGCAGGTGTACAGTCTGATAAAGTTTGACAAACAAATATACTCACGTAACCACTATCACATTCAAGATATAGAATATTTCTATCACTCCAAATAGTTGCCTTGTGGCCTTTTGTAGTCAAGCCCTTATTCCTGCCTCCAGCCCCTGGCAACCACTCATCTGATTTCTGTCCCCGTAGTTTGGCCTTTTCCAGAAAGCCACATAAATGGAAGCACACAATACGTAGCCTTTTGCTTCAGGCTTCTTTCCTTCAGCATAATGTTTTTGAAATGCACTCATAGTGTCACATGAATTAGTGGTTGTTCCTTGTTACTGCTGAGTAAGTAGTATTTCATTGTATTGATGTACCACAGTTTGTTTTATCCATTCACTGATTGATGCAAATTAGGGTTTTCCCCCCTAATTTTTGGCTGTTATAAATAAAACTACTATAAACATTCACGAGCAAGTCTTTATGGGAACACACGTTTTCATTTGTCTTGGGTAAATACCTAGGAGTGGGATTGCTGACTCATATGATAAGTGTATGCTTAACTTTATAAGAAACTGCCAAACTGTTTTTCAAAGTAGTTGTACCATCTATACCACTAGCAGTGTATTAGGGCTCTTGTTTCTCTGTATCTTTGCCAACACTTGGTATTATTAGTCTTTTTAATTTTAGCCATTCTACTCTATTTTATTAATATCTGTTAAGATATTGCTGATATATTTTAAAAAGCTTTCTTCTCCCTGTATCATTTCTGTTTCCTCTATGTTTCTCTTTACTTTTTGTTTTTTTTTAGTCTCATCTTAAGTACATGCCTCAAAATTTTGGTAATCCTTGGCTGTCTGGCATGTTTAAGAGTGAGGCACTAAAAATCTGTTGGGCACTCTGAGCCAATTGTGGGTTTTATCTTCTATGGACTTTACTCTGAAGGTCTTTGGCTGAGCTGTTCTGTTTTTTCCCGTTGGGCTGATCATATTCACCAGAAAATGATCTTTCAGGTTCTTGCCTTAGCATTATATGGCCTGAAGGGAAGACAGCTTCTATTTCTAAATAGTTTGAGCAGTATTTCTGGGTTTGAAACTGAACCAGCCTGGCTTGTACTGTATGTCCATCTTTTAATCAGTTACTCTGCCCAGGGGATGGAGTACCCTGAGTGGGCAGGCCTAGGTTACTTTTTACCTTCTCTGCTTTGGGGGAAGTGGGATTTAGCCATACCCAGACCACATGAACTAAGATGGGGAAAGGAGTGTTTTTTTTTTTTCAAAGAAACCCCAAATGCTGCATCTAGAGAAGGGGAATGGGTGCTGGGCAGGCAAAATCAAGAGATGTTCACTATGGGAGGATTGTGTTGTACTGGTGGAAAGTAAGTAGGAAGCAATACTTCACATACGTGTCAGCTAGCAAGATTACATGCTGGTCACCAAATGTGCCCTATGTTCTAACCTATTCCTTTGCTCATAATGTTCCTTCCATCTGGATGGCTTCCCATTCCCAATCCATGTCCAGTTTGTATGCTTCTTTCAAGTTCCCTCAGAAATGCTGCTTTCTCCTTAAAGCCTTACTGTGGTCATTGCTTTTCTTGAGCCACTGGATCTAATTATTTCATAAATGTGCATTGACTGGCACATCTCTTTTAGCTTTACCACTGCAGTCAGTAACCTATAGCTTTAATTCATCCCACTACTAGGGTAAGAGCCCAGTAACGTAGGAGCTGTCTACTTTGTATCCCTGCAATATGATCCCTTCAGTTTCTAGCATAAGAGTTCCATGTTAGGCACTCCATAAATGTTCACTGAACTGGAGAATACTATTACTTAGCATTTATTTTGTAAAATGTGCTTAGTTTTATATGCTTCAGTGGTTTACAGTATTTAATTATATACTTGGCAAGGTCCAAATGATTGCAGAGACAAAAAACATTGCTAGAGCCCTTTAGTGCTTTTGCATATATTCAGCTAAAGCTTTTAATACATGAAAAGCAACAGACAATGAATCATTATTACATAGCTGAGTTCTTTCTGGCAATGTTTTAGAAAAGCGTGGGGAGAAGAATTTCATGTAACTGGGTTATTGCATACATCTTCTAATGCCTAACACAGTAACTGGAACATGGTAGATGTGTAATAAATTCTGTGTTGTGTCTTGAAAAGAACCTGTAGAATTTATCTTTTCCTTATGAGTTATTAAATGGCCTTTCTTGTTCTAACCATAACAAAATACCCTGGGGGAGGGTTCTGAAAATATTTCACATTTCTGTGTGTCTTATTTTTAGTTATGGGACCCTATGTGAGAAAAGTTCTGTGTGACGAGCTGGGGGCCCCAGCCAATTCTGCAATAAACTGTGTTCCCCTGGAAGACTTTGGAGGGCAACATCCTGACCCAAACCTGACATATGCAACGACTCTTCTGGAAGCCATGAAAGGAGGGGAATATGGATTTGGAGCTGCATTTGATGCTGACGGGGTGAGTAGAAAAGTTTATCTGTCTGCTGTCCCTTTGACCATATAATGAGTCAAGTATTGGAAATCAGAGAATTAATAAGCACATCTGGAGCTAACACGTTTGGGGGCTGTGTACTCTAACTGGCTCTGCATCTGCTCTTCTGTGTCATGGCAAAGTATTGCAATTAAATAGCCATTACTTTTCATAGTTATAGATTGGCATTATGTTATAAAGAGGTTGTGTCTTTTTTTAAAAAAAGTTGTTCATGCAATAAACCTTTATGTACAGCTGATTTGGCTGAAAGCACCATGTTAAGGAACCAGCTATTTCTGCAAGAACCCTGTTCTCCATTCCATTTGGGGGAAAGAAGGAATTAAGTATCTATCTGGAGGCTACTGAAGCATGATATAGTCATCCACATTTCAAGAGGTGGAACATTCCTAGTTGTGTCAAGATTCTCGGCCCTTGATATTCAGGAATTTAAAAGAAGCTTTCCCCCCATGCTGTCTTTGGCCTCATTCCAGTTATTATATTATTAAATATAAGATGGCTGTGAAGTGGCCTGTGATGGTTATAGGAATGGGCTGCTAGTAGCAGATGCTTCTGTCTGATCATTTTCACACATTCCTCCCCACAGGACCGTTACATGATCCTAGGCCAAAACGGTTTCTTTGTGAGCCCTTCTGACTCCCTGGCCATCATTGCTGCCAACCTCTCTTGCATTCCATACTTCCGTCAGATGGGGGTCCGCGGGTTTGGGAGGAGTATGCCAACCAGCATGGCCCTGGACAGGTAAGCAAGGATGTCACCATGAGAAACTTTATGGTAGATTTCTGATGTCAGTGTCTCCTTCATTGGTAGCTGGCACTCATTCTCCCCTACTCCATGTGGAACTTGTTGAAAGCAGAGGAGCCTGGAGTATGGTATAGTGTACTGGGTGGGCAATGGAGAATCAGGTGGTCTGAGCTTAATTCTTGGTTCTGCCACTTACTAGCTGTGGGAACTTGAAACACATATTTGATCGCTGCGCCTCAGTTTTCTTATCTATAAAGTAGGAATAATAGTAGCATCTTTATATGGGTTGTTATGCAGTATGAATAAAGTGATTCATGTAAAACATTTAACAGAGTGATTGGTACATAATAAACACTACATAAATGTTTAATAACAAAACTTACTAAATCTGAAAGTATATGTAAGTGAGGTGGAAAGAGCATGGGTTTTGAGGTCAGATTATATCATGTCGAAATGCTAGCTTGTACCCTTATTAGCTCTGTAAAAAGAGGGCTGATACTTCATAGGTTTGTTGTAAGAATGAAATCAGATAGTACATGGAACGTGCCCAACAGGAGATTCACTTAGTAGGGGCTCAAACAGTGTTAGGTTTCTTTCTTCTTGCCCTCTCCATCCTTATCATCTCTTATCTTGCATTATAAAACAGTGAATTTCAGAGTCTAATATTTGCAAACAACATCTATTATTATGGAAGCAGTATATGTGCATGGTGGAAAGTTAGAAAACACAAACAAATAAGAAAATGTAAACCTCATAGCCTCTTCCCTGAGTTACCTATTTTAATAGATAAATGTATATTCCTTACTGGATCTCTTTATATATATTTTTATATATATATATAATTAAAATACATAATATAATATACATATACATATATATGTGTCTTTTATAATACCAAAAAGAGATCAGAAATTACATACTGCTTGTAACCTGCTTTTTCTTATCTAGCAACAATTGCCAACTTCCTATTAACCAATTTCTAAGTCATCTGAAACCAAAGTTGTATTTAAATTTCCCCTGAATGTTCCCAGAATGCCTTTTATGGATGGTTTCCCCAAAGTACTATCCCATCCAAGACCACATGTCACATCTGGTTATGTCCATTCAGTCTTTTTTTGTCCAGCACAATCCTTTTATTTTCTCTTTCACTTAATGACAATGACTTTTGAAGAGCTATGACCAGTTGTCCTGCAGAAGCCCACCTTCTGGGATTGCGTGTTTATTTTCTACTAGTGTTATTTATTCATTCATTCATGAGATAAAATGTATATACAGTGAAATGTGTAGCCTTAAAGGGTACAATTCAATGACTTTTGAAAAATGGATACATCCGTGTAACCACCAACTGAGATTAAGACATGGAACATTCCCATCATCTCAAAAAATTTCCCTGTGTTTTCTCCCAATCCTCGGTGGGCAACCATTGTTACAACTTCTGTTGCCATACGTATGTTTGCCAGTTCTTAAACTTCACAGAAATGGAATTGTATACTATGTACTCATTGTAACTGGCCCTTGTCACTTAATATATATTTTTAACTGATTCATATCCATTGCATATGTCAGTATTTCATTCGCTTTTGATGTGTCATATACTAATGTTTAAATATATCACAATGTATTTTTGCAATTTCCTGTTGATGGACATTTGGTTGTTTCCTGTTATTAGTTATTATGATTCGCCCTGCTATGAGAATTCTTATACAAGTGTTTTTTGTGGATGCATCTTCATTACTCCTGGGTAAATATTTGGGAATGGAATGCTGGTTGTAGGATAGATGTATGTTTGTTTCAGTTTACAAGAAACTGCCAAACTATTTTCTATTTTACACTCTCATTTGCAGTGTATGAGAGTTTCAGTTACTTCCTATTCTAATCAACATATGGTGTGGCCAGTCTTTTTTATTTTAGCCATTTTAGAGAGTGAAAAATATTATTTCACTGTGGCTTAGATTTGCATCATCCCAATAACTCGTGATGCCGAGCTCCTTTTCGTATGCTGATTTGGCCATTCGTGTAACTTCTTCATTATATATCTGTTCAAAATGCATCTGTTCATTTCTAAAGGTGGACTAGCTGTCTTTTTTGTTATTGATTTGTAGAAGTTCTTTGTATATTTTGTATAATACATTTTTTGTCATATATATGTATTGTATTGCAAATATTTTCTCTCTACATGTTCCTTGCCTTTTCATTTTCTTAATAATGTCTTTTGACAAGATGACATTTTAAATTTTGATGAAGTCCAGTTTATTAATTTTTCTTATAATTAATATGTGGTTATTATATATATTGATGTCTTCTACAAGAAATTTTTGCTTACCCCAAAGTCAGAAAGATAGTTTCTCTCTGTTTTCTTCTAGAATTCATTGCAGCTTTAACTTTTATATTTATGTCTATGATAATTTTGAATTAATTTTGTGTGGTGTGAAGTAAAGGTTGGGGTTCACCTTTTCCCCATATCCAGTTGTTCTAATCCTATTTATTGAGAAGAATTTTCTTTTCTCTGAATAGCCTTGGTGAATTTATTAAAAATCAATTGACCATAAATATATATGTGGACATGCTTCAGGATTTTGTATTCTGTTCCATCGATCTATTTGTTAATTCTTATGCAAATATTACACTGGAATCAGGTGAATCCTCCAATACTTTTTTCTTCTTTCTCGAATTAAAAGAAAATTCTATATCCTAGGTCCTCTGCATTTTTTTTTTTTTTTTTTTTGAGACAGAGTCTCACTTTTTTTCCCCGGCTAGAGTGAGTGCCGTGGCGTCAGCCTAGCTCACAGCAACCTCAAACTCCTGGGCTCAAGCGATCCTTCTGCCTCAGCCTCCCAAGTAGCTGGGACTACAGGCATGCGCCACCATGCCCGGCTAATTTTTTCTATATATATTAGTTGGCCAATTAGTTTCTTTCTATTTTATAGTAGAGACGGGGTCTCGCTCTTGCTCAGGCTGGTTTCGAACTCCTGACCTCGAGCAATCCACCCGCCTCGGCCTCCCAGAGAGCTAGGATTACAGGCGTGAGCCACCGCGCCCGGCCGGTCCTCTGCATTTTATTTATATTTTAGAATCAATAATTTCTACAAAAGCCTATTGGGATTTTGATTGGGATTTTATTGAATTGAAGAGCCATTTGGGGAGGATTACATTTTAATAATATTGAGTCTTCTAATTCATGAATGTGATATATCTCTGTTTTTTGGTTTTCTTTAATTACTCTTACTTATATTTGGTGGCTTTTAGTGTAGATACCTGACACAATTTTTGTTAAATTCATTCCTGAGTATTTTCTATGTTTTGGTGCTATTGTAAAAGGAATAGTTTTATAAATTTAATTTTCTAATTGTTTGCTGTTTAATATTATTTCTAATTAATATTCTAATATTTCTAATTAATATTAGAAATACAATTGATTTTTGTAAATTGGCCTTGTATTCTTCCACCAGAGGGGAGAAGCAGCATATATGTTTTGAATGCCTCCCACTTTACTTCTTTCCCTCAGGTGATATTGACATGAAGTCCATGGTGGTGAACTAAATTCTGTTTAAAATTCTTCCCTGGCAGCACCAAAAAGTAGGGTGTATGAGTCCATGTTTTTTTCCCATTTAGCTTTGCTTATCTATTTCCTTCCAAAAAACAAACAAACGAAAAAGCTCACTAAAACTGTAGAGAACAAAGCAAAAATGGGACCATCTCTGGAAATTGAGAAGTCAGAGTCATATAGGATCCGGAGTGCCATATAGGTTATTTGATAATATGGGGGTACATTTAAACCTTCCACTTATACAGAATTTTATAATTTAGAAAGAATTTTTATACATCATCCTACTTTATCTTTGCAATGATTTAGTGAGGTAGTTGGAATGGGCATTATTCTCCTCATATTAAAGATGCTGAACCAACGATCAGAGAGGTTAAGTGACTTGTATAAGGTCCCACAGCTAATTAGAAATTGACCCAAGATTTGAAACTAGGTCTTCTGATAAACCTATCGTTTACTACTGCATCTTGTCTGGTAACTACAGTGAGATCAGGAGCGTCCCTAAGAAACCAGTTGAGAATGTTGCCCAACCCTCCCGTGGGGTAGCCAGCAACTTTCCAAACCATTGCCCGGAGAGGCTGGTTTCATTCTGACAACAAAAACCATTTGTCCTCTTTTCTGGTGGAAATTTCCCACTAGTTCTTGATTTCACTTTATTCCCTCCTTCCCAATAAATCTCTGTTTCAGTCAGAAACCAGAGGACTTGCTCAGAAATTTCACAATGGACCTGTTCTGATATGTAGTGACCATTTAAAAGGATTATTCATGCTTGCTGGTTGGGATTCAGAATTCAGTGGGGCTCTGACGTGGTGATTTGTCTTGGGTATTTGATCTGTTGTGTGGCTCCCAGGTGGATTCTCATGATGTTCACTCTGTACGTTTCTTTCTTCCTAGGTAAAATAAATGTGGCTTCAAAATTTTGATCTCAATAGTGGTGTCCCATATAGCTTCATTTTTTTAAAAAAAATTAATAAATTCATAAGAATGTGCCCATAAATGCCAGCCCCGGAAGAATAGCAACTGAGTATGTTGTTGAGACAAATTAAATGGCACAATTGCCTAACCCCCTGGGATTCCAGAAAAAGGGGGCGAGAAGGTGTGTACTTGAAACTGATGAATTCTTCAGACAAACTTTTATTGTTCACAGATAATTGTGATTCCCCGAGGGAAGACTTTCAGTTATCTTTAATGTCTACTCTTACAGAGCCACTAAAACAAGGATTCCATTTACTCCAGAATGATACAGTTTCAGCCTTGAAAGTGGCATTCTTTTGGGGCTTTGTCATTCTGAATGTGTCTGACTTGTGGCTGGAGATGAGTCTGTGTTGCTGAAAACATTTTGGTCCAAATGATTTGTGAAATAAAGCACATTCGAAGTATATCTGTGGCCCGAAGTCCATCTCCACCCCTTGCAGAGGTATTAAATAATCCTTTGTGTCATCATCCTTCAATA